TCTTTGGGAGAGAGATTAATCACAGGATGGCTCAGGTTGGAGGGGAACTTGGAGATCATCCTGTGACAGGACAAGGGGAGATGGGTTCAGGCTGAGAGAGGGGAAATTTAGGCTGGATAGAAGGAAGTTCTGTGCAATAGGGGCAGTGAGGCACAGTCTGCTCACAGGGGTGGATGCATATTAAAAATAAATATGAATGCAGAGGAGAGGCTCAGAGTGGAGGTGACACAGCTGGTGGCACCCTTTGGTCACCAGAAGACCTCACTCCAGCTCAGGTGTTTGAGCTCTGAGCCCTAACCTGAACCTAAACCCAAACCCTAAGCCACTCCAGCTTGAGGTTTGAGCTCTGAGCCCTCACCTGAACCCAAACATGAACCCTCATCCACTCCAGCTCTGGGGTTTGATCTCCGAGTCCTGACCCCTACCTGAACCCACTCCAGCTCAAGGTTTGAGCTCTGAGTCTGAACTCAGTGTGCCCCTCACATCTCTCTTCCCTCGCAGGTCAGACAGCTCCTTTAATTTCATGACCTTCTTCTTCGTCTTCGGCATGCAGTTCATCCTCACCATCCTGCAGGCAGTGGGTTTCTCCGGATGGGGAGCGTGGTAAGGACAGCCTCCTCCTAGGGGGGCACTGCACAACCTGCAGGGGGACAGAGGGACTGCTGGCAAGCCAGCTCCAGCACCTCAGGGAGATACAGAGCAGCACTGAGCTCTGCACTCTCAGCGTCCAGGAGCTGTGAAGCTGCTCTGATGGTGTTCTCCTTTCCCTTCCCCGCAGCGGCTGGTTGGCAGCCATCACGTTCTTCAGCACCAACGTGGCAGCTGCTGTGTTCATGCTGTTCCCTGCCATCATGTTCACGACGGCGGCGGTGGCGATGCTGGTCTGCATTTTGAGGGTGAGAGCTTCAGTTTTGCCGTGCGATGTCTGTGGGTGTGTGGCACGGCCGCTCAGCGCAGCGTTCATGGATGTTCACTGGGGGCCTTTTGCCCATCCTTTAGGTGCACAAAATCTACCGAGGGGCCGGCGGGAGCTTCCAGAAGGCTCAGGATGAGTGGCACAGCGGTGCGTGGAGGAACCCCCCCAGCAGAGAGGCCCAGTACAACAACTTTGCAGGGAACAGCCTGCCCGAATACCCCACGGTGCCCAACTACCCCTCGGGAAACCAATGGCCTTAGGCAGCCCCCGGGCTGCGCGCTGCCTGGATTCTCTCCTTTTTTATTTTTCGCTCCTTTTATCGTTACCTGAAAAGATCATTTGCATTCCCCTCCATACGCTCTGCTCTTGGCGGGGTTTTGTTGTTGGGTTGTTGGGTTTTTTTTGTCTCCTCGTTGCTGCAGAAGACGTTTGCTGCCTGCTATGGAACGCCCAGAGCTCCGCACGGCCGGATCAGAATAGCAGAAGGTTTTTCCCCTGTGCTGCTCCAGCATTTGCCTCGTTGCAGACTGAGGAACCCACTGCTCACTGCTCTTTGCTCGAGGGCTCCTCGTGGTCGTGGCTGAGCTCCCTGCAATGTCAGCGCTGCCAGCGTTGCTCTCCTGCTTCCCCACACACCTCCAAGCTGCCTGTCCTCGGAACAACCACAATCTGAGCAAGAGCACCAACCGGTGTTGGCTTTCCTGGATGAGTAATGTGGAATTTTTCCTGCCACGGGAAATGTAACACCTGATTTCTTCAGTACTGCTGATCTGAAGGTGTCTGTGCAATCTGCAGCTCTCTGGTGAAGATTCCTTCATGAGGCAGTGCTCACTGTGGGTGAGTGTTGCTCAGAAATGAAGAAGAGTCCCCATTTCCGTGGCTAGAACTGCTCTTAGGATAGAAGTCCTGCTTTCGCCGTTTCCAAAAGCTTTTAGCCGGATCTGTGTGCTGCAGAGGTGCAGATTCATCTCATTTTGTGTCATTTCAGTGCCATTTCATCTGGCACTGGGCTTTGAGCCTGCGGATGCTCGCCCTCTTACAGGCAGGCAGTGTGAGATCTCTGTGCCATCCCAGTCCCACACCAGAATTTCATGCTGACCCTACACGTGCCTGACTGACTGCCTTGTCCTGTGCTCTGGGCTCCAGCTGTGTTATCTCAGCACCGGACCCCAGGGTGGTTTGGGAGCAATTCCCAAAATGGATAGATTTAATTCTGCCTTCTGCCAATGTTAGTTAAAATCCAACTCCATCGTGCAGTGAGTCTGACTGACCAAGGGAAGCTCAGTAGCTGATGCCAGCAGTGCAGAGCTGGTTCCTCTGTATCCAGCAGCACTTCCAGGTACGAGCAGAGCTTCTTGCCTTTCCCCAGTAATCAGCAAAGAGGAGAAAGCTGTCGGGAGGGTTTGTACCCCTGAAAGCTAGCACTGATTTATCTCATTGCCCACCTTCATCTCATGCACGTCCAGCAGGACGGCCGGAGCCTGAGCCATCCCATTCCCTGTGTCCTGCAGCGACCCGAGCAGCAAAGGCTCTGCTTTTCCCCTTCCCCCAGCACCCTGCTGGGAATTCTCTCTGTCTGGGAGGTCAGTTCCCAATGTTGCTGAAGGCAATGAGCGTTAAGCATCTTCAGCTCTGGTCCTGTGCAGGGCCGCGTGAGCCAGGTCTGCAGGTTTGGCTCGGCCCCATGGCCTGCCCAGCTCCAGGGGATGCCATAGATGCTGCAGCAGGAGTCACTCCATGCTCACACAAAGTAACTGGAAAGCAATCCTGGCTCCTGGACAGGGAGGCTGCCCCAGCTAGGAGGAACTGATTTGCAAGTGATCTTTTGAAAACCGTTTCTACATGTGCCTTAACTAACAATGTTAGTTCATGAAGGAGAAATATCTGTTCCCCATCCCCCTCTGCAAAACTTCCCTTCGCTCCATTCACTTTTCCCATGTCATTCCATAAACACTCAGCAAAGTACAGCTTGGAGTCTGCACAACACCTTTGTTGTTAGGGCCAAAGCAACAGCAAACATCAGTGGGAGAGCAGAGCCTCCTCTGACCTTGGTTTACGAGCAGCACTGACCCCTGCTGCAGCACCAGCCCTCGGGGATGTTTCATGTGCTGAACACAAGGGTGTTTTCTTCTTGCAAGTGTGCAATGTGTTTGTAATTACAAATGCTTGAAGCCTTCATAATAGAATGCGACGTTGCCAAGCTTTCAGGTGCCTTTGTCATGTGTCAAGTGTGATTTTAAGCATTCTATGTCGCTTGCCATCAGAGAGTGATAAAAGAACCGTGAGGAGAAGCATTGCCAAGAGACTCTACTTCTCTTTTCTCCTTTGGAGAATCTGGGGGTCCATCCCTGCATTTCCAACCTGCTCGATGCAGAGAAGGGGATACTTCAGAGCTTCAAACCAAACTGGTTGGAGGCAGACGCTAAGATCACAGCCGTCGTTACCAAAATGATTGCAAAGTCATGAGCAAACACTGCCTGAGATTTCTAAAGAGTTCAGTGAAGCTCCGCGGATGGGAGCTGCCATCTTAAAACACCTTTCCCCCCTTCCATCCTTTTCAATGCCAGAAACCCGAATTCCAGCAAGTCGACTCAGTGCTGCCTGAACTGCCGTGGCTGAATTCTTCGGGCTCCTCTATGGTTTTTAATGTTTACATTCGATCTCTTCACACCATTAACCTGGACCCGGCTCCTGGTTTTGCTCGTGTCTGTGTGTGATGTTTTGTGTCACTTGCAGGGCTCTGCTTTCTGTTTGTGTTTTGATCACAAGACAATAAAAGCTCATCCTGTGCTCTTCTCGAACTGGCTGTGTCAGAGCTCTGTCTGTTCCCACGGAACCTCAGCTGTGGCAGAGGGAAATGGCAAAATGGAGATTTTCTTTCCAAAGTCTCCCACCAATTTTATTTTATTTTTTTTTTCCTCTCCTTAAAAGAGCCACACGTTTATGGACAAAGCTCATTCCCTTGCTGGAGACCAGTGGGACAGTTGGCTGGCAAGTGTTTTATAACAACGTTACCACTGTCCTCATTATCCAGCTTAGGAGAGGTGCAGGTGATAAATGGGGTCAAGCCTTCCTTCCTGGCCCTTCCTGAGCAGCACAGCCCGTTGTGGGGCTCCTGCTTTGTTTGCTTTGCTGCCTGAAAAGATATGGCCATCTCTGGGGCAAACTGACATGAAGGTGAGTTGCGTCCCTTTCCTTAAGCACGCAACTGGATCTGTTGCCCCAAATTGCTTTGTGTTCCAGCTCTGCTCACAGGAGCTGAAAGAGCTGTTTTCATTGCAGCCACTCAATCCAACATCTGCTGATCTCAATCACTTCCTCCTCTCAAAGCCCTCTACCCTACCTGTAGCCATTAGCATCTTGTCTCTGTGCACAGGATGTTGCATCGTCCTCACATCTGCAAAATTCTCATGGCAGCATTTCTCCCACAGTGGGTCAAGCAAGCAGATGGACTGACTCCAAGCATTGTCCCCTTTCTCCCTCAGGTCAATGGGAACACAATGTTCCCTATAGGGAGCTGCAGGCAGCATGGGGCCTATCCCCTATAGCACAGCTCTTGTCCTACAGCAGGGCCCGTCCCCTACAGCACAACTCTCGCCCCATAGCAGGGCCTATTCCCTATACCACAGCTATAGTCCTATAGTAGGGCCTGCCCCTATAGCACAGCTCTTGCCCTACAGCAGGGCCTGTCCCCCATTGGGGCTACATGCAGCACAAGGCCCGTCCCCCAGCAGAAGCTGCAGGAAGCGGGGTCCCACCCCCGCAGCACGGGCTGTCCCCTGTCCCTGTCCCTGTCCTTCATATAGGGCCGCAGGCAGCACACAGCCCGTGCCAGACAGCGGAGCCGCGCACCGCACCGACCGCTCCGGTAAACAAGGAGTTAAGCGGAAGTCCCGCCTACAGCCGCCGAGCGCGGCGCTGCCGTAAAGCGCGCCTCGTTGTCGTAAAGCCTCCCGCCCGCCGTTCGCCTCCAGCCTCCTATTCTCGACCGCGCTTTACGCCAACGCCGTTGCGCCACCATCCTCCCATCGGCTGCGCTTGCGCCGCGCACCGCTCCGGAGTTGGTATTCAGGAAGGGCTCTTGCGCCAGCAGCGTGGTGGGGGGCGCATGGGCGAGCGCGGAGCTTACGCCGGCGGCGTAGCGGTGTCGTTGGCTGGAGTGGTGAGGGGAGGCGAGAGGCGGCGTGAGGAGAGCCGGGCCGGGGGCGCCGCCATGGGCAGGCCGCGGGGCAGCGGCTGCGGGGCCCGGCGCTGAGGGACCGCCGAGGTAACGGCTACCGGGACCGCCCTGCCGCCGCGCTTCGCCCCGACCGGGACCGGGCAGCGTTGGGGCGGGGGAGGCCGGGCCGGGCGGTGCCGGCGGCGGGGAGCGGGAGCGGGGCGGTGCGGGGGCCGGTGGGGGTGATGGGGCTGCGGGGCCTTCGTGGGGCCTGGGAGCCCGAGCCGAGGCGCCGAGCGGGGCTCTGAGGGGCTCTGAGGGCCGGGCTGCGCTCCCCCCGCCCGCTGTGGCGGGGCCTGCAGGACGTGGGCCCTTTGTATGGGGCTTCGCTTTCCCCTCAGAGCTCTGGAAGCGTTGGTTTGGGGCTGGGGGGCTGTGCTGGGCACGGTGTTTAAAAAAAAAAAAAAAAAAAAAGCTTTTTTTTTTTTTTTCTTCAGCCGAGCTGCTGAGGATGGATGTGACGAACGGGGGGTGGGGGGAGAAATAAAGCGGCCTCCCCTTCCTCCTGCCCCGCCAGCACGGGGAGAACTGCCTTCCTATGGGGAGAGCTCTGCGGATGGGGAGAGCTCTGCGGGCAGCAGCCCCCCCACCTCAACAACCACCCCGTGCTGCTGTCTGCGGGTGCAGGGAGAGCAGCAGAGCTCTCAGCCCGAGGGGGGAACGCTGGGCTTCTGTGCGGGAGCTGGGCGTGGAGGAACGGCGTGTGGTCCGGGCAGCCACCAGCCATATTGTGTGTGTGTGTGTGTGGCTCTGAAGTGAAACGGTGAAGTTGGTGAAACCAACCTGAGCTGGAGGTCAGCCATTGCCCGGTCCTGTCCTATGTGAAACGGCTGCTGGTGTGGGAACGAGGCGCGCTGCTGCGTTGGGAAGTTGCCTCGTTAAACTGCTTTACCTTCTGCACAACAAGTGGTTGGATATCCGGAAATAAATCCCGAGGAGTGAGTGAGTTCATGGGGCAGCAGGGCTGTCCTGGGGGTGTGCAGCCCTCTGCCCCACCCCGAGCTGCCACCGCCGAGCTCGGAGCGCTGGCCCTTATGTAACAGATGGGAGCGAGCGTTTGGTGTTTGCCAGTGAAAGAGAATCGCTGTGAATTAGGGCAGGAGGCCTCCGTGGGGATGGCGGGGAGAGGCCTTCGCTGTGTTGGGGTGGGTTTGGCAGCTGGGGCTTGCCAGAGATTTGTTGGGTTTTGCTGTAATTTGGTGCGCTGTGGATAGGAGCGTTGGTCAGGGCTGGTTTTAGTGCTGCTGTGGAGCCTCTGGGAGGGTTGGAGGGTCAACAGTGACGATTGAACCCAACCGTGCTGCTGGGTTGGTGGCAGCTCCTTGCTGGTGTGCACCTGGGGGAGCCCCGAGTTCCCCAGGGGTTGTTGGGATCATCCTGCTGTTGCAGGGTGCTGCCCTCCCGCAGCCTTGGTTGCCAGCCTTCAAACCTGTAAGGCCTTATAAGTGGGTACAAATGGGTTCTGTAGTCCTCTGCAAATACAGCTGCTGCTCTGCTCCATGCCTGCACCAAACCAACCGGGGTGCAGTTGGCGTTGGTTTGCAGGGGAGGATGTTTGTGTGTCCGGCAGCATCTCGGGAAGCCCTGAATGGAGCTCTGTGTGGCTGCAGCGTGGCTCGTGTTTGGTTTTCTTGTTGCTGCGCTCTTCAGATGAGTGAGTGGAGAGGAGGAAGTTGGCAGTCGCAGTTCAGCAGGTTTCCGAATTCTGCTCTGAGTGCTTCCCTGCGCCGGTGCAGCGCCAGGCTTTGCGTCTCCTCTTGCTTTGTATTCTGCTTCTGAGCTCCTGTGCCGCCCGAGTGTTGTCAAAACTGCTAATCTGAGAGTGACTCAGCGGATCAATGGGAACTGCACGAGGCTGGTGCTGGTGGACAATCAGTATTTCCCCCCACCCCCTCTGGGCTGGAGGAGATGATGTCTGAGAGCAGCATGCCAGTAAACACGTTTCCTGGGCTCGGGCTGTCTGTACCCTCCCCTTCCCCTGGTGCTTTCCTGAGCTGCTGTGGTGAGGAGAAGTGCTGTGCTGGGAGCAGCAGTGCTGTTCTGTGGCTGCTCCATCCCGTGTGTGTGTGTGTGTGTGCAGCCTGTGCTCTGGCAGCAGCAGAGCTGCTGACAGCCCCAGCCTTTGTGTGGCCAGGAGGCTGAGTACCTGCATGGCTGGGTTTTGGAGACCAAAGCCTCAGGATGATGGCACTTTGTGCTGCCAAACCCTCAGCCCATTGCCCTGCTGGGGGGGGGGAGGAAGGGGGAGGGAGACTGAGCTTGCTACAGGCATCCCTTGTGTGCGTGGAGCAGCACCTTGTGCGCTTATAAATTGTGGGATTTCTAATTTATCTGTTTATTTTTTTTTAATTAGAATGGATCCCTGTGCTTCCTGCTGGCAGTCAGTGCCTCCTGGAGGGCTGTGGCAGTGCAGCAGGCAGAGGGCTAAGCGGTGAGGGAGGCAGAGAGGTGACTTCTGGAGCAGCTGCACGCTGAGCATTGGGGCTTTTGACATTGGGCTCCCATCGCCATGCTGGCTGCCCTCCATCTCCTAGGAATCCCCTGAAATCCTGCTCCAGCTTTGGTGCTTCCTGTTGCACAAAACTGGGTTAAAATAAAGTATTGCAGCACACACCTCTGGCAGAGGCGCTCAGGATCCCTTTGCTGTGCTGCTGGGTGCCCCTTTGGGGTACAAACCTGGCTCAGCCCTCCCATGCCTTATGGTTGGCCCGATGTGTTCAGAACCACCAGTTTTCTCCCCAAACCTCTCGGGGGTTCTGACAGCACCGTCCTGCTGTGGGGCAAAGGGGCGAAGCAGTGAATGGGAAACCACAGGGCTGGCTGCTTCCGTGCGCTGCGGTGCGGCGCTGCAGCCGCTCAGGGAGCTCAGTGAGGGTCAGTGCTCTCATGCTCTGTGATTTAGGGAATGCTGCTCCATCCAGGTAAGCATCAGCCTGCAGGCAGAGCTTCACGTGGGTGGGTCGAGAGGCGCGTGACCCACAGCTGTAAGGGTTTGTTCCCAGGGAGAGCACTGAGCAGAGAGTGGCCTGTGGCCCTTGGTTGTTTAATGTGATGTAATATTTTTTAATGAAGGAGGCCTGGCTTTTGCTTTCCAAATGGCAAACGAGATGCTTGGCAGGTGATGCGCAGGCTTTGCCTTCCTGGGAGGGTTGTTCTTAAGTTAATTAACAGGGGCTAACGTTGGTCTTGAATTCTGTGAAGCTTTCCTTGGCAGGAGCGTGGTTCTGTGCTGCTGTTCTTGCAGACCTCATCAGTGCCTGATGTCCTCTGCTAGGAAATCACTGCTTTTTGCTGTTGGGTCAGTGCTGATTGACAACATGAGACCCTTTTTCTTCTCCATTTTTGACACAAGCTGTTGGTGGTGATGAAGTTGTTTCTCTCCCTGCCTGAATTCCCAGCTCCAAGTGGGAAAGGAGCCGGGCTTTCCAGCCCATTCTGCGCTCTCCTGGATTACCCCACCCCCAGCTCTGTTGGTTCCCCTTATCCCAATGGTTTTGCTCACAGCCTCCATCTGTGCTCCCCAGCACAGACCCCACAAAGGATGCTGCTTGGAGGCTGAGCTGCAGCCTGGGGGGGCACCTGCTGTTCCCCTCAGGTCTGCTCTGACATCTCTGAGTATCCGAGTGCAGGTCTTGAAATAACCAGAGGATGCAGTGCAGCGGGGTGACAGCAGACACCTGGAGCAGGGGACAGATCCCAGATGCTGACAGCTCCTGGGACAGGAGTGCAGCTCCGAGTGCTTTGCTCCTATTTCTGCTCAGAGCCAGAAATCAAAGTCCAGAGCAATGTTTCTCCAGCCTGAAATCGTTCAAAGGCACTTGCTGGTGTTTTAGGGCCAATATTTAACTTGTTCCTGCAATGAGGAATGCCTGCTGGACTCCAAATATTTGCCTTAAGGAAGAAGTTTGAGAGAAGAACATCCACGAAGGGGGGAGGGAGCAGAGGGGATTGCAGGAAACGCTTTGGTCTCTGTGCATACAGGTCTACGAGGGCCCCATGTTGCCCCGTGGGCCCGAGCAGCAGCGCAGGGAGGAAACGTCTGTGCAGCTGGGTGTGTGTCTGTCCCACTGCCAGGGCTGAAGGCTCAGGTTTGGGGCCGCTTCCAACGCGGGGAGCCGGGCTGGAGCGCGCGTCGACTTCCTGGTGAACAAATCCCATCGGAAAAGAAACGCTGGGCTGCTTTTGCTTTTGCTTCGGCCTTTGGTGGCTGTGAAATGCTCCACAGCAGCCCTGCGAACGGCAGTTTTCCCGTGCCCTGGACCTGCTCATGGCTTCTCCTCGCTCGCCTCGCTGCGATCCTTCTCGATTTGTGCCACTGCCTGGCCCACGGGGAGCCCCCCTGGAGGTGGGTTGGTGAGGCCGCGCTGCCGGGGGGAACCCGCTGCACTTTGCCCAGCTCTGATTGTGCAGCCAGGCTGAGTTCCCAGTTCCAGCTCTGGCGCTGAAATCTGCTCTGCCTCAGTTGCACACCGAGCCTCTGCTGTGTGCGCTCTGCGCTCTCGTTGGGTTCTTGACTATTTAACTGAGTTGTGCTTAGGTAAAAAATAGCCTGTATGCTCCTCAGCCTGGCTGGGGTGGCTGTGAGTGTGATGGGGAAGTGCAGGCTTCTGTCAGAGCCCCGTCCAGCACAGGGGAGCCGGGCGCAGGGGGCTGTTAAGGAAGATGGACGTTGGCTCATTCCCTTTTGCAGACGCCTGGCACCGACTGTGGAGGTACCTGAGCTGAGTCTGTGCAGTCTGAGCACAGCCTGCAGCCCATCCATAGCCATGAAGGGCCCTGGGAGGGATTCATGCCACCTCTGAGGCTGCAGTGGGCACCCAGCAGCACTGTAACAAAGGCAGCGATGGGGTTAGGCCCATTAGATGGGCTGTGCGGTGAGTGAGGAAGCCAGTGGTGTGCAGCTGCAGGGACTAGGAGAAGTGGCAGGAACTGGAAGCAAAAGATTTGGGTTTCAGATAGAAGTGTGTGCTAAGGAAGGGTGAGCGTGTGTTGGCTGGGCTTTCTGGGACAGCTCACAGAAGTGAGAGCCCAGAAATGAGGGAGAAGGG